ATCAAAAAATTAGTGATAAATATAATACAACATTAATCAAAAAATCAGTGATAAATATAATACAATCATCATTAATTATTAAATCGATCCTTGTTTAAATAAATTATTCATAATAGAGATTAACAGTATATGAGAATTCTTGATTATAAATATTATACAGCAAATTTACCTTCTAATTAATATGAACAATGGAATAAGAATTTCAAAACTTAAAAAAACAAGTTTTCAAAACTGGTTGCCTTATTTTAAGTTTTCAATTTCCTGGTGATGGGGTTTTAGAAAAAATATGATCTTATAGAAAACTTCTGAAAAAAATTTGAGAAATGTTATATTATTATTACAAAACTTTTGTCACCAAATAATCGTATACTTCTACAATTTTACCTCCTCGCAAAAAATTATCATCTCAACTTTCTCCTCGAAAATCAATATCCATATCTTCTTCAATAAACATGTAACCGAATTTCTTTCTGAATTGATCCATGCTAAACAACATATGATATTACAAAAATTCCAACCGTTAGAGGTAGCAAAACTTTTGTCACCAAATAATTCTATTACTTCTACAATTTTACCTCTTTGCAAAAAATTATCATCTCAACTTTTTTCTCGAAAATCAATATCTATATCTTCTTCTATAAGCATACAACAGAAATTTCTGATTGATCCAAGTTCAACAACTTATGATATTACAGAAATTCCAACTATTAGAAGTAGTAGAGATGGATTTGGTGTTGAAATGATTAAGCTTGACAATTTAAATAAAATACTTGGTGAATATAATTCTCTTGGCTGGAATTTTGAAAATAGTGAATTAAAAGGGTATAAAGCATTTGGTGTTCGATGAATTTAGACATCGGGATTCCACATTCCTTTTTTTCTATCATGAGTCTTTTTATACATTTTCAATTTTGATTAAATTTTTATATGTTTAGAAACAGCAGCCTTTTTTAAAGTCAGGGTTCACACATTTTTATAATCATCAAAACAAGTTGATCTTTTAAGAGTTTTGATATC